CTGAGGCACTGAAAGATGCACCAAGATAGTGCTCTCCATGTGAAGAGTTATTTGAATCTTCCCGCAATGTGGCTTCAACATAGTGTTGCTCAAAAACAGTGCTATCTTAGGGTAAGCTTAAGAGATATGATGGGAGAATACAAATAACAACTTCTTGTAAGCAATAGTAGCAGCCACACCTTCAGTATCAGAAAAAAAATAATCTGTGAGCCCTTTCATTCAGAACAGAGCTGCAAGGGACCTTGCAGGTCTTCTAATCCAACCTCCTGCTCAAACAGGAGACCCTATAACAGCGGTTCTCAACCTATGGGTCGCGACCCCATTTGGGGTCGATCGACCATTTCACGGGGGTCGCCAAGCAAGGCTGTCCGCCATTTTTCCCCCTTTTCCAGCGGGTGCCTTACCTCCCTTGGGCTGGGCCAGCTGGTGGTCGGCCTGCTCCGTCTCTGCCGCTTGCCAGCTACGCCTCGGCCGGCGCAGGGGGCGGAACCACGCATGCACGGCGCTCCCGGGCAGGGAAAGTCTTCGACTTACGACCGGTTGGGTAGTCCTCGACTTACAACCGGTTTAGTCCTCGACTTATGACCAGTTTAGTCCTCGACTTACGACCGGTTGGGGGTCGCGGCATTAAAAAGGTTGAGAACCACTGCCCTATAACATCTCAGACAAGTGGCTGTCCAGTCTCGTCTTAAAAACCTCCAATGATGAAGCACCCATAACTTCTGAAGGCAACTCGTTCCACTGGTTAATTGTTCTCACTATTAAGAAGCTTCTGCTTAATTCCAGGTTGCTTCTCTCTTGGATTCGTTTCCATCCATCGTTTCTTGTCCTCTGGAGGCTGCCCTTGCAAAGAGGGCAAAAGGCTTTGCAAACAGAGGGAAGGCTTCGATGTTTCAAGCCTTCCCTCCGTTTGCAAAGCCTTTTGCCGCAGATCTCGTCCAGGCCTCCGTTTGCAGAGAACATAGGCCTAAAGTATCCTGAGATCACCTGAGATCAGTAGCATGAGATCTTGCGCTACTGATCTCGCCTGATCTTGCAGTACTTGCGGCCTCCATTCTCTGTGAACATACCGAAGGCCTAAAGCACCAAAGCAGGGTTCAGTCATTTGTAAGGTGAATGACTGCCGTGGTGCTGCAACATTCATAACCTTGGGACTGTGTCGTAAGTACTTGGGGTATGCGTGTGTTATATTGCAACTTCGAACATTCGCTAAGGCAGGGGTTCTCAACCTTGGCAACTTTAAGACTTGTGGACTTCAATTCCCAGAATTCCTCAGCCAGCAAAGCTGGGAGTTGAAGTCCACAAGTCTTAAAGTTGCCAAGGTTGAGAACCCCTGCACTAAGGGAACTTGCGTAAATTGGGGATTACCTGTATTAGCTTTTTTTTTGTTGCTGCCGTACACTGCTGGCTCATATTTAAGTGATCATCCACTAGGATTCCAAGGTCCCTCTCACAGTTACTCTTTTTGAGCCAGGTTTTGCCTAATCTGTACTTGCACCTTTGGTTTTTCCTGCCTTAAGGGTAAAACCTTTTTTCTCTCCACATTAAATTTCATTTTGTTGAATATGGCCCATTGTCAGCCAGCTATAAATCCATCTGGTGGTGATGCTGCCTATCCCACATTTTTCTAGCTTACCATGAAGTAGTTTGTAGTCTACTTTGTCAAATGCCTTGCTGAAATCTACGTATGCTATGTCCACAGCATTTTACTGGTTTAGTCACTTTGTCAAAGAATGAAATAAGATTGGTTTGGCATGATCTGTTTTTAACATACCTGTGCTGGATTCTAGGTATAACTTTATTTGTTTCTAGATGTTTGCAGTTCTGTTTTTTATTATCTTTTTCAGTATCTTTTGAGGTATTGATGTTAGGCTAATTGGTCTGTAGTTTCCTGGGTTTGTTTTTTCCTTTTTAGAAGATGGGAACCACATCGGCTCTTTTTCAATCCTCAGGCAATTCCCCAGTGCGCCGGGATTTTTGAAAGATATGATACAATAGTTCTGAGATAATACCTGCCAGTTCCTTTGGAACTCTGGGATGTAATCTGTCAGGTCCCAGTGATTTATGTTCGTCAAGATCAGACAGGTGTTCTCTTACCATTTTCTTGTTTATTTTAATTTTTATTTCTAGTCTGTCTTTTACGGTTATGTTTTTGGTAGTTTCTTTTTGTGTGAAGACTGATGCAAATAATGAGTTAAGCAGCTCTGCTTTCTCTCTAATACCTGCTACTTCTTCTTTCTTTAGTGGACCAACTGTGTCTTTGACTTTTTTTGTTATTATTTATATGTTGATAGCCTTAGTTCATTTTGAGCCTTATCTTTCCTGATTTCATCTTTGCAGTTGCGGGCTATCTGCTGATACTTTGCCTTAGTTATGTGTCCCTCTTTCCATTTTTTGTATTTGTCCTTTTTGTCTTCAGTTTATCAGAGAGATCTTTGGGCAACCATGCTGGTTTCTTCTTGGATTCTAAGAACCCAATAGGATAAGTCCTGTTGGATTCTTAGAATTTGCTCAACCATTTGATTTGCCAACACAAAGCCTGTCTGGCAGAATGATTTGATGATGACATGTTATGGAGACTTTTTGAGTTTATAAGTTTATATTGAAAGTAATCTTTTGGTTATATAGTACTAAAAGACAGGGTATGACTATTTGAAATAAATATGAAACATAACTCCTGATAAATTTAGA